CAGCGGCTCTACTCCGAGCTCCTCCTGGGTGACAGCTCCGAGCTCCTCACCCTGTCTGTAAGGGTGCGCCCTGCCACCCTGCGAAGGAAACTCATTTTGGCTGTTTGTATCGGAGATCTTGTTCTTTCTGTCATGACCCAAAGGTTATGACCATAGGTGAGAGTAGGAATGTAGACTGACCGGTAAATGTAAATCTCTGCCTTTCGGCTCAGTTCCTTCTTCACCACAATGGACCGGTACATCGACTGCATTATTGTTGCCGTTGCACCGATCTGCCTGTCAATCTCATGCTCCATCCTTCCCACACTCGTGAGCAAATCCCTACGATACTTAAACTCCTCTGGTGTAAGGACTTTCCTCCAACCTAGAGGTGGCAAAACACCTTTTTCCAGCGAAGCACCATGGCCTCGGACTTGGAGGTGCTGACTCTCATCCCAGCCACATCACAGTCGGCAGCAAACCGCCCCAGTGCATGCTGAAGGTCCATGTTAAAGCCAACAGAACAACATCGTCTGCGAATAACAGAGATGAAATCCTGTGAGGATCACATGCTTTGTGATTGCTTGTGGCTGATCTAGCATTATCCAATTCATGATTCATCAATCAGACGATTCCTAAGCCCCTATAAATACCCTGAGTTCCATATCACAGCCATCTTCATTTTGATGAATCCCCCCTTCCACCCCTACTCCTCCTCCTTTCTTAGATGGATGGCACGGTGACCAAATGGTTAACACTGTAGCCCCATAGCAAGAACATCACTAGTTCTAGTCCTTACCAAGCCAGCTGACGTTTCTGTGCGGAGTTTACACATTCTCCACGTGCTCACGGGGGTTTCCCCCGTGTTCTCCGGTTTCCTCCCACTGTCCAAAAACATGCAACTTAAGTTAATTGACTAATCTAAATCATCACCATAGACATGCTCATAGTAAGTAGTTATCTCCTGAGAGCAATTACTATCTGTTTATTAGTAACTACAACAGGGGAGTTCTCAAGATCTGCCTGAGCTCAAACTCCTCTCTTGCCTTGCAAACGGGAGGGAGTCCTGGGCTCGAGGATCTTATAAGTTCATGGCTGTCTCCCGGAACAGCATGCCAAAACAAGCTTTATAATCAATCATCAGCTAAGTGTGAACTCTTGAAAAAACAATTAAGTGGTCCCCCAAAAAACTTAAAGAATTGTTTTGCTTCAACTCATTTTAAATAAGTAGTTTGAACAAACAACAAACGTCATTTCTTGAGTGTAGAGATTTTTACAGCATGTGTGGATTCTCTTGTCCATGTCAACATGCCTAAATGCACTGAGTTGCTGCCATGTGACTGGCTCATTAAATATTTAAGTCTTAAAAAAGCAACTGAACATGTGCTCCTTTAAGAAAGTGGCTTGTGGGTGTAAATATGAATATAAGCTGCATTACGCTTTGAAATGTAAATTTCCTTGCTTATTTCCCCACTTGTCGACACAGACCACATCCTCCAAGAAACTGATGCACAGGTGTTTGTTGCAGACTCGTTCGTTTCTAATCTGAAAGCCGCTGTGTTGTTTCTGTTACTATCGAGCTTTGGGAAGTGAAGGACTCAGCTTATATAGAATATCAGGGGCAAAAGGACAACCTGTACTGATACACACACACACACACACACACACACACACACACACACACACATACACACACACACACGCAGATACATGATGAGTTTATCTACAAGCAACACACTCGCCACTCCCCTTCATTCTCTCCAGTGTCGCTCCATGTGTGATTAGTACAACAGATCACAGTCTACATGCTGTCCAACGTCAAAACAATATTGTCCGTGAGCACGTGCAAGTTCCTGTTATGTGTCTTTCAGGCCTTATCAAGACCTTTTCTTTAGGTTCATGTTTGACGTGCTTGTTTAAATGCTGTTGAATTTGCATTGAACAATACTAATCAGTGTCTGTTGGTATTACAATTTAATAGTACAATGCACTCTTAAAAATAAATCTTCTTTGATGGCATTGATAGTTCCACGAAGAACATTTAACATCAGTGGAACCTTTTCATTGCACAAAAAAATGTTTATAGTGAAAAAAAGTTATTTAGACTATTAAAATGTTCTTCACTCTATGAAAACTTTGATACTTAAAGACCTCTTCACTTGAAGTTTCTTGAGGAACCAAGAAGTTATTCTATGGCATGACACTCTTAAAAATAAAGGTGCTAGGAGGAACCAAAAAGATGTTTTCACAGTGATAATGACATATGGAATACATTTTTAGGTGCAAAGACCTAAAGTAAAACATAGTAAAACGTTTTATTGTTATTATTTATTGTCTGAAGAACATTTACCTAATTTAAATAACATTTCACACTTTATATGACCTGTTGTGGAATAAAAGGGTGTCAAAGAGTCTGTTGACAACTTTTATTTATAAGAGTGCATCATAAAAACCCATTTTTGTTTCTTCCTTTATTTTTTAAGGGTATATGCAGTTGCTTATATACTTAATCTAACACAAAGCTGCATAGTCTAATTAATATGTGGTCATTTACAAGGAATGCAGGTAATAACATATTAAAATCTACCCAAAATATCTGAAACTTATTGATTTGTTTACAGATTCCAATATACCCATGTAGAAATCTGATATGTCAATATATGCCAATTACATTTATGACATACAAGCTTATATTTGGATTTGCACAGTGGTTCAGTGGTTAGGACTGTCATCTCACAGCATGAAGGTTGCTGGTTCGAGTCTCGGCTGGGCCAGATGGCATTTTTGTATGCTCCCTGACCATGTTGGCGTGGGTTTCCTCTGGGTGCTGCGGTTTCCCCCACAGTCCAAAGACATGCGGCATAGGTGAATTAAATTAAATAAACAAAATTGACCATAGTGTATGAGTGCTTGTGTAAATGTGAGACTGTATGGGTGTTTCTCAGAGCTGGGTTGTGGCTGGAAGGGCATCCACTGCATAAAACATGTTGGAATAGTTGGTGGTTCATTCCACTGTGGCGACCTCTGATAAATAAGGGACTAAGCGGAAGGAAAATAAATGAATGAATAAATGTCATATATGTCAAAATATTGCAAAAAGCTTCAATAATATATATATTTTTAATTTCTAATCATTGGAATTACAATATATGTTCAATATTATTCATTAATTTAATATATTCTGTCATTGTTTTTATATTTATATATGGCTGTTCCAGTGGCTGGAAAAAGTAAACAGATTCAATAATTTTTTTTAATATGTTGTATTCATGACATATTTTATACATGTGAAATCCAAATATGAATTTGTTATGTCATGTTATGTCATTTGCATATATTTCAATGTATCAGATTTCTATATGAGTATGAAGTATTTTTATTTTCCATTTTACTTATTGAAACAAACTTCATTTTCATTAATAATGAAGTAATAAATCCAAAACATAGGTGAAAGAATGTACTGCATTCCTACAGTTATACTTTCATCCATTCATTTTCTTTTCAGCTTAGTTCCTTTATTAATCCGGGGTCGCCACAGCGGAATGAACCGCCAACTTATCCTGCACATTTTTTATGCAGCGGATGCCCTTCCATCCGCAACCCATCTCTGGGAAATACAGTTAAACTCAAAAAACTAATAAACTAATAAAACAATAGAAAGCAGAGCTCTGTTTATTTACAAAGATTGCTACAAAATGAGTACAAATTCCACAAAAAAACAACAACAACAACATATTGTATTGATGTATGTTTCTTGAACCAAAAAAACCTGCATATTATAAAGGATCATGTGACGTTGAAAAAGTACATTGAATCACAAAAATAAATTACATTTATCACTTCAACTTTAAAATAGCAAACATTATTTCCAATTGTTGGCTAATATTAGTTCACTTTGTTTTAGCTTTCACTATAACATGTATTGGTGACCATAAAAAAAATATTTTATGAATAGATGATTATTTTTCTTTTTTTTATTAATTTTTTTAAATCAAGTCTTAAACATTTGAGCAGTACTGCGGACGTTTATTTTTTAAATATGTTATTATTATGATTAATACGAAACATATGGAGCCAAATCAGTCTCAAAAATAAGATATTTACAAAATAAAATTCATACATTTGTCACATCACATTGACAAAATTAAATTTGTAAATTCAAAACACAATTCATAAATACAACACACAATGTGTGAATTCACAAGTAAAAATCATTAATAGTTTGGTCAAATGAACTGTATTTGTGTATTTTTTAATCGAGTTTTGAATTTAAGAATTGTATTTGCGTATTTATGAATAGTGTTTTGAATTTACAAATTGGATTTGTGTATTTATAAATTGTGTTTTCAATTCACGAATTTGTATTTGTGTATTTATGAATAGTGTTTTGAATTTACGAATTGGATTTGTATATTATTTATGAATAGTGTTTTGAATTTTCGAATTTGATTTGTGTATTTATAAAGTGTGTTTTATATTTACGTATTTGATTTGAGTATTTACGAACAGTGTTTTGAATTCAAGAATTGGATTGATGTATTTACAAATGGTGTTTTGAATTTTGAAATTGCATAAATATATATATATATATATATATATATATATATATATATATATATATATATATATATATATATATATATATATGTGTGTGTGTGTGTGTGTGTGTGTGTGTGTTATAAAAGATTTGATAGACCATATACAAAATGTGTAATTTTAATCAACAATATCTACATATTTAATGGATTTTGACCCAGAAATCAGCTTTCAAAGACACAAACTGAAATTAATTGCACATCTTTACACCAAATATGTAAATATATTCACATGAATTCAAGAAAGCTGTAATTTCATACATTCTTGCTAAATTGAAATGCATTATCCATTTCAGATTTTAAAGTATATATTTCTGCCCATTTATTACAAACAGCATCCATTTCTATAAACGCATTACACATGAGTCCCTATATGATTAAATAGCCCTGCTTTGGTGACTGTCATCAGTGTTAGTTAGTCAGATGTAAGTTCAATAGGAGTTCTACACAACATCCGGGCATTCCACCGCTTGCGCAGAATCGGAATGGCGGAGGTAAGTGAGCTGCGGGGCTCGGGGGAAGAACAACACAACGATTTAATCATTCAGCCGCCCCGGTACACTTTAACGGGCAGCCACGCATTAACGGGCAGCTTAAGACCGCGGCCGTTTGATCGTCCGACTCCAAAAGCGGGAAATATACGCGGTCATTAACGAGGAGGAAGTTAAAATGGGAGCACTCCTCAGCGTTTCGCCACTCTATCTGTCTCTCTCTCTGTACGCGTTCACGAGCGTTTAATTTGCCCGATCGAGTCCCGTACGAAACAACGGGAGCACTGGTGCTGAAGTGCGTCCCAGGTGCGCGCGGAGCGGGACGGATGGCAGGTCTAAAAGTTTCAAAACTTCACATACTGTCACTTGCCTCCTCGACTTCCCTAAAACTGTTTCCTTCTCGCACCGGTTTAGTGTCACAGTGCAAATGTTCAGCACTGACTACAGGAAAGCGCCTGTGCGACGACCTGCTGCAAACTTCAGTGTTGGTCGCGTACAGATGCGTTTAACGGTCGTGAAGAGGATAAACTAAAGAAAAGACAACATAAACAAGTTTCTAATAGTAAAATTCTAGATATTTTGAGTTGTGGGCGAAGTCTGGAAGTGTTTGTGAGGTAAACACTGACAGCTTTGTACAGTTTAGTGGTGAAATAAACTTTTTTTTAAAGGGAGGCTTGTTATTTGAGACAAAGATAGGCTAGATGATGTCTTGTAGTTGTGAAATTACAAATTAGTTCAGTTTATTATCAAGTTTGATACATTACCCCTCTGCTATTTTGGTCTAAACTATGTTTACTAAAGCATGCCTTGTGCTTGTGCTATGAAATTAGAATGTTCTTATTAACGTTACTTATCTGTTATGTATTCGCTTTGAAACAATAACTTACTTTATATTACAGCTGTGCGATTTGGGGAAAATATCTAGTTGTGTTTTAGTTTTTTTTGACAGATATTGCAATTGCGATTTGAATAATGATTAAATTTAAACTTCAAGCTGATTTTAACTTAATTCAAGCTTTAGCTCAGTAATCTGTAAGCCGTGGCAACAATTCTGTGACAGCTCTTTAAATATACCTGCTTTTGTTTGGTGTATGTGACTTTGAAACCAAAATATTCCCATATTACAAATGCTGTTTTTTTATTGATATTAATTCGTCTTTTAATGCTTCTGAAGCATCATCATCCCACTTGTTAACTTGTAGTTCAGTTGAGCAATTCTGATTGGGCAGAACGAGTGTGCTCACTCAATTGGCAAGTCATTAAGCCCCGGTCAGACCACACGATTTTGGCCTATTTGCTTGACGTAGTGTGCTGTGGGTAGTCGTAAATGACAAATGTACGCCATGACACAAGATTCAATTGTATCTCATGAAATGTGGCTCAGTTCACGACGACCGATACCATGCCTGTGATGCCTCACGACACCATCGCAGAAAGTCTAGCATGTTTAATTTTCTAATTTTCTGAAGCACAGCCGGACTGGTTTTGAAGCACTTCAACTCTGATGTTATTCGTTATTCATGCATATATATATATATATATATATATATATATATATATATATATATATATATATATATATATACATATACACATTTCAAATTGCGATTTGATTTTGATTAATCCCACAACTCTACATTATTACATCATTTTGAACATAGTTCATGTACTATGTTTAATATGTTAGATAGTTTGTGAAGGATGGTCAAACTCTGAGAAGTGTAATGTTAATTAATATTATGGTGCTGATGAATGATTGTGTGCAATTATTTTCAGGGAATCACACAGCTGCAGTAGTTCCAGGCAGGTCTTGACTGCATTACAGTTCCATATCACTATAGGTGCGTCCCAATTTGATTTACGCACTGTTCTAAACTATTTTGTAGTGTAAATGGTGTACGTTGTGCATTCACACAAAAAGTTCTTAAAATAATAAGTGCGCTTTAAAGCAGCTCTATGTAATGTTTTCGACATAAAAATGTCTCTAAAAATTACATCAGTAGAATTAATTTTAATTAAATGAAGTCTGCTGCAGAGGCTACCAGACCCTCCTCTTGTTGCCTGAAATAACTCTTGTAACTTTGAGTGAGTGACCCAGTGGAGCAAGGACATATATTGAATATTAAAATCACACCTTTTGTGATGTTGTATAAAAAATTTTGTGAGGTGCATGGGCAGATGTTTCGACATGGCTAATTTATCATTGACAATCATTTTATTATCCAATCAAGATAAAACCAAACCCCTAGAAGAAACCAAGCTTGTCCTTCCTCCATTATTTCTCAATTTTAGCATCCCTCCAACATATTTAAACCTGATTTTTATTTAAATTGGAGCAGGGGAGTCTTCTGATGCTGGGCTAGACACTGCACTCTGACCCCTATCTCTCCCCTGATAAGGGGTATAACACAAGTTACGGTGTTCTGATCCCTCTCCCAGACAGCATGCCAAGCAAGCATTTTTATTATTCAGTCAAATATCTGTAACTGTGAACTTGAGAAGTAAACATACATGCAAATATGAATGGCAGAAATTTATGCTAACATACTACTATTCTTTTTGTCACTGTTACTTTAGTTATTGGGAAACAATGAACAAATAATATTATGATATTTGTGGAACATAGTGTAGTGTAATACAAGCTAATTTACCTGGTTGGTGGACATGGTTTCCAAACAAGGTGTCAGCTTTTGCTTGTTTCTCAAAATGCGATGCCCACGGGGAAGTGCAGCTGTAGTTTTGTAACACTGGTTACAGACACTTGTTCTTATCAACCACAAGGGAAAGATGCGAGAGAAAGTTGCATAGTGTTGCTTTAAAAACCTGGATAATGTACTTTTTTAACTGCCAAATAGAAGTGTGTTGAATACTTCATGCATTCAAAGGTTGCAGCTTTGCTCATGTAGAGCAGTGTTCCCTAACCTTTTTATCACCACGGACCGGTCAACGCTTAAATATTTACAGCGGACTGGGAGGGAGGGTGGCGGGGGCGATGGTTCGTAGGTTGCTAGGTGACCATCAACCGTTTTTCTCAGAGGATGACAAACTGACATAACATTGCTGTCACTCTGACAAGACCGAAATGTGTATATTCCATACAAGCTGAAGCTGATCGGTCAGTTTTTTCAATGTGACTCGAGGTGTTCTCAAAGCATCTAAAAGACGTGAGCCTGCCATGCCACAGGCCATGCAAGCCGCGCAGATCAATTGGAAATAATGAACGTGTGAACATTATAAAAGACACGATATGCGAACGGCCCCTAAAAGGCTGTCGTCATTTGCGATCTCCAGCAGTTAGTCTTCTTGCACAGACATGGTGGATTCACCTGATTTGTTGACAAATAGGTTGCGGATCCATTCCTTGGCAGTTAACAGGTCCTTCATTGGACCCTTTTCCCTTAGCTAAAAAACAACTTTTCAGAGGGGTCTGTTTCTCACTCATTTTGCTGCTTGTGGGTTAAATATTTGGGCACTCAAATGACCGAGATATAAGAGAGAGAATATGGTCATTTTTTTCAATAAAAGTTTTTTCAAAATAAAAGATTGTTCAGACAGATAATAAATAAAACTGAAATAATTAATGATTTCTTGTGTGGCCCATTACCAATTGATCCAAATACCTGTACCGGTCCGCAACCCGGTGGTTGAGGACCACTGATGTAGCGGATAGGGAAGACGTATCAGGCACTAAGCTTGGGTTACTTATCTATTTTGAATCACGTATCGATTTGGTTGTTGCTCGAAAACCTAGTACTACCTATAGAGGATATTTGAGGATGAAAACCTGACAAATGTCTTGAAATACAACTTCTAAACCATGTGTTTAGGTGTGGTAACTGAAGTATAAGGGAAAATTTGATGATGGTATGTTTAATTATTTAAAAATAATGCACATCTGAGATTTTACATTCCATTCAATTCATCTTTATTTACTTTTTTACAATGTAGATCGTGCCAAAGCAGATTAACTTAGTCGAAGAAAAGAAAAGTCCATTGCAATATTTTAGATTATGAAACATTACAGCAAATCAGGCAGGCAGGAGAGTAGTGGTAGAATACTGGTGTATTTCTACTTAGATTAAATGTCACTGTTGAAGTTCAGTTTAGCTTAGTGCAGTTGCATTTAAACTTGTGTCCAAAGCGACTTACAAATGAAGAGGTATTCAATGATGTTACATGAAACGGTTCAGTTCAGTTTTGATCCTCTGAAGAGCAGCTCCACCAGCCCTAAACAAGCAAACCAGAGGTACCAGTGGCAATGAATCTAAACTTCACCAATTGTCGGAAGTGAAGAACAAACCTTGTTAGAAATCAAACTCAGTCAGGGTGACCAGTTCTCCTCTGGCCAAATGTTGTGGGCAGAGCTGCAGTCTGGATGTTGAAGACTTGAGAATGATGAGAAACTGCAGGTCAAAGTACAAAGGTCATAGGGCGAGTGTTTAACACAGAGGTTCTGTCTCTGGGGTCTTGCAGGAATCAGGCTTGTGCTCTTGGGTCACCAGTGACCACAACATCTGCTCTGGATACAGGCTGGATCCAAGATTATGTGAACCTTGTGATAATGAGAAACAGACTAACATGAGTGTAGATGACTTTCACATTGCTGAGTTTTGTTGGGAGGAGTTCTCAACTCCAGTTTTCCTGATTAATGCAGAATAACAATCCTTTAGAGGATTTGGATTTCAGAGTTATGCATTTGTGTTTTATGTGTATGCTTGCTTGTGTAAAGCGATTTGTTTTTAGTCTAGTTTTGAACTAACAGAGTGTGTCTGCCTCCCAAACTGTGCTAGAGTTTGCAGAATTTAGGTGCCAGATATGGGAATGGTCTATCCATACAGTTGATTTTGATATTACAGACCCTTTTGTCCAAAGCAGCTTACAAGCGAAAAGGTATTCAATGATTCAACATGAAACAGTTCAGTTCAGTACAAATGTCACTGTTAAAGGCTGATCCACTGAAGAACAGCTCCACCAGCCCGAAACAAGCAAGCCAGTGGCATAGA